GTTCAGACGCAGAGGAAGAAGCACAAGTACCAGGAGGGACATGAGACGAGTCCACAGGAGCTGACGGAGGCTGACAGGGAAGTTCTTCTGAAGCTGGGGAGGCTGGCCTTTGAACATCTGGAGAAAGGAAACATCATGTTCTACCAAGAAGACCTGGAGCAGTGTGGTCTGGATGTGACAGAGGCCTCGCTGTTGTCAGGAGTTTGTACACAGATCTTCAGAAGAGAGTGTGTGATGTTCCAGAAACCAGTCTACTGCTTTGTCCATCTGAGCATTCAGGAGTTTCTGGCTGCAGTCTACATGTTCCACTGTTACACCAACAGCAACACTGAGGTGCTGAAGAAGTTCCTGGAAAAGGACTGTAAAAACATATCTCTGAATGTCTTTCTGAGGAGAGTTGTGGATAAATCCCTCAGAAGTAGAAACGGTCACCTGGACCTGTTTGCTCGCTTCCTTCATGGCCTCTGTCTGGAGTCCAACCAGAGACTCTTAGGAGGCCTTCTGGGTCAGACAGAGAACCGTCCAGAAATCATCCAGAAAGTCCTCAACCATCTGAAGGAGAAGAAGACTAACATGTCTCCAGAGAGAAGCATCAACATGTTCCACTGTCTGATGGAGATGAAGGATCTGTCAGTACATCAGGAGATCCAAGAGTTCCTGAAGTCAGAGAACAGATCAGAGAAGAAACTCTCTGAGATCCACTGCTCAGCTCTGGCCTACATGCTGCAGATGTCAGAGGAGGTTCTGGATGAGTTGGACGTAAAGAAGTACAACACAACAAAGCAGGGACGACTGAGACTGATTCCAGCTGTGAGGAACTGCAGAAAGGCTTGGTGAGTCCAGATGATCGTCTGAGATGTTTTTCAGCTGCGACTTATTCTTTGGGTGAATCGTGCTTTGACTGGATACAGCCATCTTTGTGATGCACAATTCTTGTAAATGATGACGTCATGTCGTCGCCCCTGCTGCAGTCAGTACCTGTCATTTATTCCTTTTCTTTTTATGTTTCTCAAGAATCGTTGATCCAAACTACTTCAAACTTGACGCCAGCACAATGGTGTGTATCAGAATGACGGTTGTATGGTCTAAAGTTCATGAAGCCCAGCTTGACTCACTTTTTCCCCGTAGCTTTCCAATGTCCACATTGTATGCACTGGCTGGGTGTACTCCAACGATAAAATCCAGCTGACACCAAGTTGCGGTTTACACAGGATTCTTTAGTTCACAAAAATAAAAATTTACAGACGGAAACATAAAGCAAAACGAGGATACAAAGCGTGTGCAGTCAAAAAACTGTTTGGCTCCATGCCATCATTCATTTCCCAAGAGCCCTTGCANGCATGGAGGTGGCAGCATCATGCTCTGGTTCTGTTCTGCTGCCAGTGGACCTGGAGCTTTACACAAAGTCAATGGAACAATGAAGAAGGAGGATCACCTCCATGTTCTTTAGGAAAACCTAAAACCATCAGCCAGAAGGTTGATCTTGGATGCAGGGTTGAATGAGCCCAAACACACAGCAAAAGTGGTGAAGAAATGGTTCAATCAGGCTAGAATTAGGGTTTTACACCAGTCTCCCCGAAGTCCTGATTTAAACCCATCAAGAACCTGTGGACTGATGAAGAAATAAGTCTGACTCAGAAAACAGCAAATTAAATTAACTGTACCAACTCTGTGGTCAACGATACCACCAGAAACTTACCAGAAGCTTGTCGACATTTACCAAAGGCGCCTAAATGAGGTGACAATGGCCAAAGAACATTTAACCAAATGTTAGAATTGCTATATGCATGTTTTTGCCCAAGCAGATTTTGTAATATTTTTAAAAGACCTATAACAACCCTAAGAAATCAATAAAAGGCATGATTGTTTTCAATGATTCCATCCAAGAAAATCCAGAGTTACAGGAGCCATTGGAGGCTGTCATGATATACGTGGTCTTTACAAGTATATGTAAAGTTCTGTTCACTGTGTGGTGTAGCTGATAATGTAGCATCACTACTAACACAGCAGAGCTTCAGGGAGGATGAAGACATGAAGGAGTTTTATATCTGTTTGTAGACCTGAACATTTGTAAGGATGACCTCAGTAATATATCAGATACATGAAATCTCTGTGTCTCCAGATGTCAGCAGCACCAACAGAGAGCAGAGTCTTCAGGATCCATCTGTCCGTCCGTGAAGAGTGGTTGGTCCAAAGACTATCCTCCAGAGTTCAGTAGTGAACCTGAACCTTCAAACACACAGTAAGAGACGGTTTTCACGATAAACTGACCTGATGATTGACTCACAGCATAACGAGACAATGTTTACATGAAGCAGAAATATTAGCGCACAAATGTTGGTCCATTCCAGGAAAGTATTTATGCACCTTTAGTCACACTGTCAGTTAATGCACAGCTGCACACATAAACAATGTTTGTACTTCACTCTTCAATCTTCAGTTTAAGTGTAAATGTATGCAAAAGGTGATTTACAGATACAAATATAAATACAACACAGTAAACTTACCCAGTGGTGCTCAAAGTAGAAAAGAAAATGAAAAACTCAAGAAAAGTGACTAATAGATACACAACTGTTGTGTTCAAATGTGGATAAAAATTTTAAAAATTAATAAGCCAATTCTAGAATAATATTTTACTGTTGCTGACGTTCTGTGTGAGTGCTCTTTAATGGTCACAGTAACTTTTCCTTCATGTCCACAGAGAGAAGCAGACGAGTCATGTTTCTGAGGAGGAGCAGCCGTCCTGCTGCGCTTTGTGTCAGGACGTCCTGAAGGATCCAGTCTCCAGCAGCTGTGGACACTGGTTCTGCAGACGCTGCATCACCTCATACTGGGACCAGTCTGCTCCANATCTGTGTGGTTTTCTGGAGAATCCACACTGTAAACTGGAGACTCTGAGGTCAGACACCAAGTTTTAGTTTTGTGCTGAGTATAGAAGCACATTTTTAACCAATTTTCTTAACAACAGTCGGCCATGTCAACAAGCACTAATTGATTATTTGTCAAGATAAATAAAATACAACAAATCTTTATTTGATCCAGCTTAGCGTGTGTGTGTGTGCATAGAGTTTCAGCCTCAGGAAGCTCCTTTGTCAACAAATGGAATTCCATTGATTAAAATGAGCCAATGGAAAAAGATCTTTGTGTTGTTAAAAATGTCCTGTCACGCTTGTATTTCTGTTTAAGAGAGTTGTTGGACAAATTCTGCCATTCTTCCTAATGCAATAAACTAAAATCTAATGTGGTAATGTGGTAGTTTTCCACAAGCACTAATCTTATATGTTTCATCGTTCATTCAGAGTGAGGGGCTGCAGTTTGTCAGAGATCAGCTGTGATTCTCTGAGCTCAACTCTGAAGTCCAACCCCTCCCATCTGAAACATCTGGATCTGAGTAACAACAAAGAACTGAAGGATTCAGGAGTGAAGCATCTGTGTGGTTTTCTGGAGAATCCACACTGTAACCTGGAGACTCTGAGGTCAGACACCAAGTTTTAGTTTTGTGCTGAGATGAATGTGATGTAAAGTTGTGTTGACACTAAGCTGCAGCCTTCAGGCTGATATTCTACTGATCCACACTGAGGACCTTCATGGTCAAGTAGACTGCTGTGATTGGTCGGCATCATCGACGTCACCATTTTAATTCGGTGCACGGTTTAATTTTTGCAAGTGCTTCTATTTATTCCAGCAATGTGGTTTTTCTTCTGTATCACAACTAAATTGCTGCGTCATGACATCGCTTGATTTTGACTCCAGTCATTGTTCAGCTGCTGTGTTAGAAAATGTCAGCAGCAGCAGAGTCAGACTGTTCAGTGTGAAGTTTCCAAATACTCAAGGCTTCCAACGTTTGGAGTACTTGGAATGATCACAGAACGAAACGATGGTTTTCTGAACTCTGTTTGGTTCAGAGGCCCTTTACATCTGCTTGCTTCTCTCCTACACTGTGCTCACATATTTTAATACAGCCTGTAAAATCCCAATTTGTCCGTTTGGGTGAGAACCCAGGTGCAGATACGAACCACGAGGAGATCACAGAACCAGTTCAGTATTGACAACAGTGAAAAATCACAGCGATTAACTGTGTACAGGTATCAAAAATAGATGAACCAAACCAACCTGCGAAGTGAGCAAGCGAGCAAATAAACAAAAGGGCAGG